TTACTGAAATTTTACATTTGTTCAGGATAACTCCGCATCGGTAATGGTATGGAATACTTGCCTTTCACTATTGTACATGGTGTCAAACGTTAATTAACTGGGAATTTGAATACAGCATGTTTATTTCCTATTTGGAAAATTTGCTTATGTAATTTGCAAATTTTAATGGAATACAAGTATCTGCCTGTCTGTTTTTGCGTGTGTCCAGATGCCCGTATATATAGATCTGTGCATGTCTGGGTTAATATTCAGAACAGTTACGCGTAGCCAACTATGGCAGAAATTTACTGTAATTTCAAAGAATACCTTCGCATAACCGATCATGACGATGTTGGTATCACTGGATTCCTCTAACCCTCACCCTAATTATTTTTCAATAAATATATAGAAAGTTGATTTTTTTTCTTTTATATTTTTGAGAATAAAAGAGCTGTGAACAAAATTACGTTTAATTAGAACCGGTTGATACCATTATTATATTTCTTTAATATTCCATTAATTTTGATCAGTGTCTTCACTTGAATTAGTGATAGACATGGGCGAATCCGAACGAAAATAATGAAGCAGAAACAGAAATTTTAATTTCTTAATTTGTATTTGTATGAAAAATGTTAGCCTAATCAAGTTCTGAAAATGTCCCTTTTTATTCCAAGATTCCGCGTCTTTTGGCTAAGTGACGAGGAGGACCGAGGGGAGATAGACATAGATAGATAAAGGACCAGATGGATAGACAGATAGATAGGTGCCTCGCGTATTGGTCGTCAGGATGGAAAGGCTAATGAGTGATAGATAGATGAATAGGTAGATAGATGGATATATTGATAGATATATAAATGGATAGATAAATAAATGAGATAAATAATAGATGGATGGATGATGGATAGATAACAGATGAAAAGATAATATATAGATAATAGATAAATAATAGTAAGATAATAGATGAAAATATAGATAGGTATACAGATAGAAAGATAGATACATAGATAGACAGACAGATAAATTGATAGATGAATAGATAGATACATGAACAGATAGAAAAATGGATAGATAGATAATATATACATAGATAGACAGATGGATAGATAATTAGATGTACATACAGATAAACAGTCAAATAGACAGACAGATATAAGGATAAACAGATAGATGGATAGACAGATAGATAGAGGGATAGATAGATATGGATGGATATAGACAGAGAGAGAGAGAGCGAGGAAGAAAGAGATTTTGATTAAGTTGAAAATGAACACAAAAGGAGCTAATTGGCAACTTTTTATTACAACCATCATTTTCAATCATGAACCTGTCTATCCGAGTTGTGAGATAATAAAGGTATTTCGTTTATTCTTTAAGGAATGGATGTAGCTCTCTCTTGCCGTACATACTGAGGTGAAGAGACTGGTTGCCGGGAGATGTTGGGGGCAGAGAATGAACCATCCAGAGGAACCATCCCCTTGAGCAGTGCCCGAAGGGCTGCCTAGACATGGGAACTTGGATTGTTGAATAAAGATGGGGATTTGGATAGTGTGAATTTCTGTAGATTTTACCAAAAGATAGGTTGGATATATGTATATAAATATAATATATATATATTCATATATATGTGTGTATATATATGTATACACACACATATAAATATATATATACACATACATATGTATATTTGTGAATTTCACATTTGTGAAACTTGGTGCCAGAATTGATCATCAGATCTGTTCTCATCACATAAGAATAAATCATGATTTCAAAGATATCCTAATGAAGTCAATATCCCATCATATGACTAATAACATTAAATTTTTTTACCCTGTTGTTTTAGCAACTATCATTAACCTTATATTGCGGACATGTAATTGATATACTGCAAAAGTGGCACAAAAAAGACACATATGCTTATGAACTTTACATTAAGAAACATACAACACAATTTATAATGAAAATATAAATCTGAGACATACATGAAATATATTTGAGAGCATTGCACTCTGCTTGTCTGGTCAGTGTATCAGTTTCTACAGAGATATAGGCTAATAAAATAAAAAGATCTCAACATGTTTGCACACAAAAAACAAAAAGTATTTTGCATGTATTAGTGTGTGTGGTTTTGCATTGTATATATAAACAGATTATTTTATATACATATACATGTATATATACGTATATATGTATATATATCTATATACACACATATTTATATATACACATATTTATCCCTAACATGACAGAGCCAAGATTTTCTATGCTGTAATCATACAACAGTGTGTTGTGTATAGCTGGCCCACCTGTATGTTTGCTAAAGCAACACATGATAGGTATACACATAAGTCCTCACATCTTCAAGGCTGAAGGCATGCCTATCATTAAAATGATATATGAGGACATGACAGTTGGGTGCTGTCCTTCCTCTCAGAATATTCAAGGCACAAAGGTAAATATTCCCCTTACATTTAGTCAATTGGCTAATCGCTTGCGGACTGGCTCACGGCCAATGCTTCATACATACTGAGGACGGTTGTCAACAAAATGAAAGTGAAGATAAGAAATAATAATGTTCATAGTGATAGACATAGAGTGGTATAAAATGAGTATGGATATCTTCACATTCTAACAAATGCATTTAATACACTTTGATTATATCTTCATCAGATATACACATCATAGGATATACTGAAATGGTTCAAATACAACTCTTGCAGTAAAGGAATATTCATGTCTATTCATGCCTTTTCCTAAAATACAACAATACATTACCCTGAGTGATTACTTATGGCACTTTCCTTTAATTATTATTACAGATCTTTAGTATTTCACATGAAATACATAAAGTTTCCTCCTGTAACAGCAATAACGAAATCATGATAGAAGTTACAACACATGTATAAATAGGCCAATAACTTCCATATTAGTGACTGTTGAAGAGGGGAGGAGCATGTCATTTGACTGCCCCAATGTGACATTAAGTCTAAGAAGACTAAAATACAGGAAATAACACAAATAACTTGATAGATCTAGACAAAATTACACATTAACAAAATTATATGAAACATAAGTCAGAAAAAGAGAACCTTCAAACTCTATGATGCATCTGCCACAAAATGTAAGGAAGATGTCTTCCTCGCAGATCATTTTTCCATGAGTAATTCTCATTTCTACGCTGAGTGAAGGTATATCTATGTGACTTTTATGTACACCAGAATATTCTTTATCCTAGAGAAAGCCTATTTAACTTTGACTTTGCATGCCTCCTCATAATCACTGAATCATATTTCTCGGAGAATCCTCAGGCACATTGCTCCTTTGCATTTACTCTTTTGTTGTGCTAGAATATATTTTAGAGATAAGGTTTTATTGGAAACCACACATAAATGGCTTAACCTCTGTATGTTCCATGTGATACACTAAGACAGACTTATCTGAGAAGTCTTTATTGCAAATCTCAATGCTATATGGTTTCTCCTTTGTATGTACCCTTACATGCCTTCTAGATGACTTTTTGCAGAAAAAGCTTTTTTGCAAATATTAGATATATGGAGTCTACTTTGTATGTACTCTTATGTGTTTCACTATGGCTGATCTATCTGAGAAAGATATATTGCAAATCTCACAGCTATATGGCTTCTCTTTTGTATGTATTTTCATGTGTCTTCCTAGATTATTTTTCCGAGAAAAGGCTTTTTTGCAAACATCACAGCTATATGGTTTCTCCTTTGTATGTATACTCAAATGCCTTACTTGATTACTTTTTGCAGAAAAAGCTTTTTTGCAAATGTCACAGCTATATGGTTTCTCCTTTGTATGTACTCTTCTGTGTTTCACTATTTCAGATTTAAATGTGAAGTCCTTATTACAAATCTCACAGCTATATGGCTGCTCCTTTGTATGTACTCTCATGTGCACTACTAGATAATTTTTCCGAGAAAAAACTTTTTTGCAAATGTCACAGATATATGGTTTCTCCTTTGTATGTATTCTCACGTGACTTACTAAAGAATCTCTTTGAGAAAAGGCCTTTTTGCAAATATCACAAATATATGATTTCTCTTTTGTATGTACTCTTATGTGTCTCATTAAATGAGATTTATATGGGAAGTCTTTATAACAGATGTCACAGGTATATGGTTTCTTCTTTGTAGGTACTCTTATGTGACTTACTAAAGAATCTCTTTGAGAAAAGTTTTTTTTGCAAATCTCACAACTATATGGTTTCTCCTTTGTATGTACTCTTATGTGTCTCACTAAGGCTGATCTATCTGAGAAGTCCTTATTGCAAATCTCAAAGATATATGGTTTCTCCTTTGTATGTACTCTCAAGTGCACTGCTAGATTATTTTTCAATGCAAAGGCTTTGATGCAAATATCACAGCTATATTGTTTCTCCTTTGTATGTACTCGCATGTGCTCTACTAGAGAACCTTTCTCAGAAAAGGCTTTTTTGCAATGTCACAGATATATGGTTTCTCCTTTGTATGTACTCTCATATGATTCTGTATACATGACTTTCTGTAGAAAATTTTGCCGCATACATCGCATACAAAAGACTTCAATTTCCTATCCACTTTTCTTTGTGTAATATCTTTATGATTTTCCTTATGTTTTGCTTCATTCTCTTCTGATGAACATTTTATCTCATTTTCCTCTGCCACAAATGATGCTTTAGACAAGGTGTTGCAATCCTCAATAATATCACACGAGTCTTTTTCATTCGCTTCATTTTTAAGGTCTTGAAGATCCCTGATGGAAAGAAATTCATTCTTCACTTTCACTTCACTCACTTCATAATTTGCTTCATCTGCATAATCGTACGGCTCTTCCTTTACTTCCAACCACATCTCTTCGGTGACATCTCCGCTGAGCTCCTCTTTGATACTGACTCCTGTGCCAAATATTTCCTTGTCCATGAGTGGGGCCAAAGGAATCCGGTCGGGGAGAATACTCATTGTTGCCCTGTGAATGGAAAATAGAACAAGTATAACAGAATGCATAACATGGCTAATGATTGAAATACAAAATTGATCAGATATAATCACATATTGAACAATTAAAATGAGTAAACATGCATTAATACCGGAATTGGCAACCCAGTAGGATGCACTAAGAGGATAGGAAGCACATCCTTTTGCTATGATTAACAGAATACATATAATAGAGAAGCAATAGAAATCAAGAATGAAAATCCTGATAAAATTGGATGTCATTACTAAATCTGACAATAAGAATTATACAAATCAAAACAAAACTGATAACTGAAATACACATACATGCTTATAAACACATATTTATCTACTATTCTAAGTGTCAATCTATCCATCTGTCACTCTCCTTCTCTCTACATACGCACACACGCACACCACACACAACACATCTACGCACATACAAATCATACACACACAAATTATACATGCACATACGCCCATATATATATATATATATATATATATATATATATATATATATATATATATTTATATATATAGATATATATATATATATATATAATATATATTATTATATATATATATATATATATATATATATATATATATATATATATATATATTATATATATATATATATAATATATATATATATTATATATATATATATATATATATATATATATATATATATATATATATATATATATATATGTGTGTGTGTGTGTGTGTGTGTGTGTGTGTGTGTGTGTGTGTGTGTGTGTGTGTGTGTGTGTGTGTGTGTGTGTACATATATATAATTATATACATATGTACATATGTAGATATATTTATGGGTATATATAGAAATATAGATACATATATATACATATGTAATACACATATACACACAAGTATGTCTACATATATATGTATACTTATATACATACATATATATATATATATATATATATATATATATATATATATATATATATTATATATAACACACACTTATATACATTTATATACTTGTATATATACAGTATATAAAATATATAAATATATATATATATATATATATATATATATATATATATATATATATATTAATATATATAAATATATACATATGTGTGGTATATATATATATATATATATATATATACTATATATATATATATATATATATATATATATATATATATATATATATATAATATATATATATATATAATATATATACATAATATATATATACAACATACAAAAATAAATACAAACATACAGAAGATACACACAGAAGCATGTATATAAATACAAGCTTATACAGAAACATGCACACAAACACTCACACATACACAAACACACACACACACACACATATACATTATATGTGTTATATATATATATATATATTAATATATATATATATATATATATATATATAATATATACTATATAATTATATATATATATATATATATATATAATAATAATATTATATAATATATTAATTTTATTTATTATATATATTATATATATTACTATACACATATGCACACTTTTTTTTTTTTTTCTAATACAAATACATATATGATTACATTACTACAAATCTACACATTTACCTACAGCCATAAAAAACAGCTAAACTCCTTCTTCCATGATCTTACCTTATGGCTCCACACACTCTGCAAAGCCAGACCTCCAACAGCTGAGTGACTGCACGTGCCTTTCCTTGGGTCTCAACAGAGGAGGCTCCTCACTCAAGGGAACCCTGGCTTGACTGGACGGGAGAAACGAGGGCAGAGTGAGGGAACTTAGGCTTCTCCTTCCCACGTAGTCTCCTGTAAGAAGGATGCCAAAAAGGTATTCTAGTCATATTTTTCATGATTCTGACATTGATTGTAACAATATTTATGACATTTTTCTATCTGAATGAAAGCTTTTACCAATATGACACAAAATCCAGAAGTTAAGGATGTTTTCCATGTCAATATAAGCATTATAGCAATACAACAAATGTCTCAATAAGAATTTAAAAAAAGAAAAGCAAGATTAGATTAAAAATTATATTTTCAAGTATTAAATTTCAACCATTATCATAATTATGATAATGATAATAAATATTCTACAATAGTATCAGAAAATTGTAATGTCATAATAATCCTCAGGAAAGTAATGAAAATGTTAATGATTATCAGAAGTATGCTGACACAAACACTAATGATACTAATGATAATGACAATGATGATAACAATGTTTTTTTTTAATGATAGAAATAATAAGATCATGATATTAACAATGCTCCAAATGACAATAGTAATTGTGTTGGAAGAAAAGATAAACACTATTTAATTTATC